GTGGGAGGCAGATTCTACCAAACAATCGCCGAGCAATGTCCATGGGAAGTGAGAGCCGACCATTCTGGGCACACAAACGCACAGTCCATCGTTGCGCTAAGGGCAACCTGCCACAAACCTCAATAAACTCGAGTGTGAGCTGGCGAAGTGGGAGCAACACGCGCATGCTGGTCTCGCGGAAATCATGCGCGATTGCGAAATGGCCTGAGAATAGAGGACCTGCTACCAATCGTTGAGCTTCAACAAGGTTGTTGAAAAGTGGTGGTCGTGTGGGATAGGCACATGGAAGGCACACGTAAGTTGGAGGCATACGCTATCAACAACCACCGCATGATGTCCCTGGGCAAACCGACGTTGGCCACACTGACGCACAACCCCGTGGGCCCAAAGACGATGTCGGTATGTGCGCTTAGAGGACCCACGACACCTCGAGATGCTCGAGAGCGAGCTGGCGAAGTGGGAGAAACACACGCAGGCAGGTTCCGTGGTACTCATGGGCTATGAAGAGTTCGGTCAAAGATGAGACAGAAATCAGCCCGCACACAGCTCCCATCGCGGCATTGCAACTGCCCGCCGTCCTTGCCGATGCAGCTCAAATCAGGTGCGGGTGAAAGGTCGCAAACACGCATGTGGGGGGCGTGCACTGTCACACAACCACCGCGTGAGGTCTCTGGGAAATAGGGGGTTGGCCAAACTGGCGCACAACTCCCTGGGCCCGAAGACGGTGTCGACTGCTGCGCAGAGAGCTGGCACGCTTGCACCACGCATCACGGAGCTCGAGAGTGAGCTGGCAAGGTGGCAACAACACACGCAACCCAATCGCGGTGGCAGGCATAACCGAGGACCACAACGGCAAGTTCGTGTCGTGACGGCCCCGGCCTTGATTCCTGACGCAGTGCAGATCGATCAATCTTGCATTAAGTCGGGACTGTCCCCCTGCAGGGGGATTTTCGACGAAAAATAAACAAAAACCCAAACAATAATCCAAAACTAGTCCACAAAAAGTCTGGGGACTTTTTTTTGAGTGTGTTGTTTTGCATTTTTGGTGTATGCTTAAGACCCTTTTTATTCTTCGGCGAAAACCCTCCTGTAAGGGGACACGCCCGACATAAATCTTGCACCATCGGCGGCGTCTCGGTCGCCAGCTTGCTCCCCACTGGCCGACTCTGGGCCACAGGCGGCGTGTAGCCTTCGACGCCCGCGGCGGGGCCGCCGCCGCGTCGACAGGACGTCTGCTGTCTGTGTGTGAGGACACGTCAGGGTGGCACGCCGGGCTGCCTGAAGCGGTCCCGCCGGTCGGCCGCTGCTCTGATTGGCCGCTGCATGGGCGGGATGGTGAGAGGGGGAGGGGTAGCGTCAGGTCGGGCAGGTCCTCCTACAGGCGGAGGTTGCAAGAAGAAATGGAGCACCAAAACAAGCATCAACGACACTAGAAGTAATAGACACAGCGTCCCCACACTATGTTGCACTATCTTGGAATATTTTTCCTGTGGAGGGACATGCCCGACTTAAGGACAGCGCAGACAGAGGTGCCGAAATATGGAATCTAGAACTTGGGGTGTTCTGCCTGGCCGATGCCTCATCAAAAAGCTTGCCCAAAGGCCCATGGCATCTACGGCTGCCAGGGAGGAGGGAGGGAGGGAGGCAGGGAGGGAGGGAGGAGGGGAGGGAGAGGAGGAGGGAGGGAGGGAGGGGGGAGGGAGGAGGGAGGGAGGGAGGGAGAGGAGGAGGGAGGGAGGGAGGGAGGGAGGGAGGGAGGAGGGAGGATCACGATGGTACCACACAAGCGGCAAGCACGGCGAAAAACCGGCGGCGGAGACGCCAGGGGCGTCGGAGGAGGGGGGGGAGCGTCCAAGAGGGGGGGCGCAAATCCTGGCCAGAGGCGTGTGAACACGGACGAGGGGGCGGGCAAGGAGGTGCTTCGACATGACAAGAGAGGGCCACGAACATCCTGCCACCGGCCATCACATCCTCACGCCCCTGGTCCGCACCCCCCTCTTCGACGCCCTGGTCATCAGGTCATAGCTCGGGCCTCCAGCGACCGTTCGGGACGACCCGGACACCCCTGGGCAGCTCTCGACGGGGCGCAGCCGCCAGAGCCGCCCGAGGCGAGAGGGCATCCGAGAACCAACCAAATCTTCCCTCCATGAGCCAACGAAACCTTTCCAGTGGGGGCCCGACTGCAAGAAACCTGCCGCAAGAAACCCAGCCCTGCGACGCCAGGACGTCCATAGATTTCTGGTATGGGAACGCCACGCTCTCCATGGCAAAACCATCGCAACCCAGCAAACCCAGGGCACCCTGGAGGCAAGCAGGGCGTTTCTTGGCAAGGGTCTCGTTTCGTCACGTCGACCCCCAGAGATCTCGACCCATTCCCCAGGACTCGCTTTTGATCCCGAGTGGTTGTTCGCTTGGGTTGGGGCTCAGCGAGGACTCCCCGAGGCCGAATCTAGCTGAAAACCTCGCGTCGCGATTCCTACATGACCTGAGGGGATCTGGGTTTAGGCCGGGCATGTCCCCCTACAGGCGGATTTTGAAAGAAGGACGTGCCCGACTGACGTCTGGCTTTGGGAGTCCCGAAACGGTGCGGTGACAGACCGTGCGGTGACCTCGAAATCCCCCACGACCTCACCGCACGGTCTTGGGACCCTCTGGAGGCCCCTGTCGCCCGAGACACCCTCGGAGGGGGACTCGGGTCCCGAAACCGTGCGGCGACCTCGAATCCCCACCGACTCACCGCAGGGTGTGGTCACAGGAGAACGAGAAGTAGTAGCATGAACAGGAGGAAAATGAGGATGAGGAGGAGGAGGAGGAGGAGGAGGAGGAGGAGAGGAGGAGGAGAGGAGGAGGAGGAGGAGGAGGAGGAGGAGGAGGAGGAGGAGGAGGAGGAGGAGGAGGAGGAGGAGGGGAGGAGGTGTGGTCACCACACCGTTTGGGGGGCCCCCGACGGGTGCCCCCCCCCCCCCCCCCCGAGCAGGGGGGGCGGCGGTCGGAGCGCCGTCGATGGGCAGCACCGCCGGGGGCTCCACGGCCAGGTCGGCCCCCGCGCGCCACACCTGCGCGCACGGGTGGGGCGCGAGCCGCTTTTTTGTTCCACCCCTGAAAGTTTCAACACCACTGGAGAGGCGACCCTGAAGGGGCCCCAGGACACACAAATAAATACACACAAATAAAAGGATTCCCCATATTTCCCAATATTTTCTGGGTTTTTGTCTTCCCCCCACTTCCCATATTTTCTCATATTTTCCAGGGAAGCGAGGATTAATTGTGTCTGTGTGTTTTTCCCCCCCCTGAGACCCAGAGGTGAGGGGCGGGAGCCGCGGGCCGGGCCCCTCGGCGAAGGGCCCCCAGCCCCGACCCCCGACGGCGTGATTGTTGCTCCACCGGCCGGGGGCGGCCACGAGGGGGGCGTCCAAGAGGGGGGGAGCGCAAATCATGGCCAGCGGCATGGGCGCGGCCGGGGGGGGGCCAGGGACGTACTGAAATTCGCCGGCCCAACGGGCCAGAGGCGTGCTAAGATCTCCGGTAACTGGTTAACAATTCTCTAGTTCGCGCGCGCGGGGCGGCCCCTGGGGGTCCCCGGACGAAAAGTACCCCGGGCGATCCCCGACCGATCCCCGGGAGACTCCCCCAGAGCGCTCCAGGAGCGCTCCATGAGCGCACCAACAGGGCTCCGAGACGTCCCCGAGAGCCCCAAGAAAGGCCAAGAGGCCCCCAAGAGGCCCCCAAGAGCACTCCCAAGAGGGCCCCCGGAGGCACAATTCATTGTTTTTCCTTAGGTTTTTGAAAGATTTTGGAGCTTCCACCTTTTCGGCTTCCCGACGCCCCAAGACGGCCCAAGAGGCCCCCAAGATCGCCCCAAGAGGACCCAAGAGGCCCCCAAGAGGGCCCCAAGATGGCCCAAGAGGGCTCGAAGACGGCCCAAGAAGCCTCCAAGACGGTCCAAGAGTCCAAGAGGGCCCCAAGAACGCCCCCAAAGGGGCCCCAGAGAGAGAACACGAAACAACATTTCGAGCCCTCGGCCCTAAGAAGCCCCTGCGAGGCCCCAAGAGGCCCCTAAGAGGCCCCAAGAGGCCCCCACGAGGCCCTCAGGAGGCCCCCAAGAGTCCCCCAAGCGGCCCCAGGAGGCCCCCCAAACGCCCCCCCGAGCGCCCCAGGAGTCCCCCAAGCGGCCCCAGGAACCCCCAAACCGCCGCATTGACACCAGGCCCTCGGGCAAACGGCAGACATGAGACTGTATGGGCCGGCGGAATGAGCGAAGCGATTAATATAAGAAGAGGCGCCATGAAATCTAAGGAAATATCAGAGCCCACGCCACGATATCCACACACCCCCAGTCAGCACCCCCCTCTTTGCCGCCCCCGGCACAGCGTGCACCCCTGAGAACCTCGACCCCCTCCCAGGGCGGTTCGGCGACCGGGGGTGGTTTGCCGAGAGTGCCGCTTGCAACCCGCGCCTGGGGGGGCGGGCGAGGACCTCGACGCAAATCTCTGCCGCGCCCCGACGGGAGGCCATCAAACCTCTGGCGCAGCATGGCGACCCCGTTCAGCCCTCGCGGCGCCGATCGCAAGCCACCCCCCAGAGTAACCACATCCATCGCAGTCGCCGACCGGTCTTCCATCCCGAGAAGATGTCTGACAGGTTTCGGGCCTGGCAGAACCCTGGAGCCCGATCGTCTTTGAAATCCCCCCGTCGCGACTTGACTCGCAACTCGAAGGGGTCTGGGTCGGAGCATGGACGCCAGCTTATGCCGCCCGCGGCTGGCTTTCGCGGGCTCGGCTCGGGGCCTCCAGGAGGAGGAGGAGGAAGAGGAGGAGAAGGTAAAAGGGGGGGAAAGAGGGAGGGAGGGAGGGAGAGAGGACGGAGGAGGAGGAGGAGGAGGTAAAGGGGGAGGGAAAGAGGGAGGGAGGGAGGGAGAGAAGACGGAGGAGGAGGAGGAGGAGGAGGTGCCCAGCAAACCTCTTCGCCGCCCCCGAGCAGAGCCGCGCGGAGGGTTTTTTGTTGTTGCTGCTGCCCCGGGCACGGCGCGCCTCGGGCACCGCGAGAGGGGGGGGCCTCGGCGCCGCCCGAGCCCACAAGGCGGTCCCTGCGTCGGCGTCTTCCTCCGCCTCCTCCTCCTTTTTTCCCTACCTAGGCTCTGCCTAGAAGGGTTCTTACTCTCTTAATTAGCTTAAAGGGGCCGGGCAGTGGAAATCGCCCCGGGCGGTTCCCCCAGTCCCCTGGGAGCGGTTCCCCCCAGTCCCCTGGGAGCTTTAGCTTTAGCTTTAGCTTTAATTTTAGTTTTAGCTTAGCTTTAGCTTAGCTGTAGCTTAGCTTTAGCTTAGCGTTTCGCTTAGTTGTTCGCTTAGCGTTTAGCTTAGCTTTAGCTTAGCTTGAGCTTAGCTTGAGCTTAGCTGCAGCTTAGCTTTGGCTTAGCTTTAGCTTAGCTTGAGCTTAGCTGTAGTTTAGCTTTAGCTTAGCTTTAGCTTAGCTGTTGCTCAGCGTTAGCTTAGCTTTAGCTTAGCTTTAGCTTAGCTTTAGTTTAGCTTTAGCTTAGCTTTAGCTAACTTTAGCTTAGCTGTGGCTTAGCTTTAGCTTAGTTTTAGCTTAGCGTTACTGTTACTACTAATGTTGCTTTCCTAGGGGTTCCAACTCCTAGGTAGGGTCGCACTGGGATAATCTTAGGCAAACCATGTGGGCGAGACGCCTGAGGTCTCAGTAACGGCATGATGCAGAACACATGCGAGGCAGGCAAACACGGCGCAAGTCAGAAAAAGGGGATTGGCGCGGCCAGGCGGCCTCCTCCTGACCTGAGCCCTCATATTCTCCGCCTGATCTTTGACAGATCTCGGGCACGTGGGCTGCGACGACGACGGTAGCGGCAGCGGCGAGCGATCTCGCGTGACACGGCAAGACAAGCGTCGCAACTAACTGAAAGGTGCTCAAAGGGCGGCTTCAAGGAGCCCGTGTACATGCAGGGCGCCTGGTACTATGTGAAGCGCAAAACATTGCTCGCCGTGTGGGGGCGGCTGGGCAGTGCATTCCCCCAGGGTCACGCCTCAGGGGAGACAACAAGAGGCAGCAGCTCATGCCCCGACACTGGGGCGCAGAAGGCTACGGGCAGGTCGGGGAGGTTGAAGGGTTGCGATGGGAAGGCGAAGGTGTGGGGGGGTGGTGCAACTGGAGGCCTGGAGCACGAGGCGCGGGGGCCGCCCTCACAGCCGCAGGCGGGCGCCGTGCTCCTCCCTCAGGAGGGCGGCGAGCGCGGGGGTGACGCCGCTTTGCGCGAGCGACACCACGAGCTGGGGCATCTTGTACAGCACCTCGCCTGCCGCCGACGCGGCCGAGTCGGCGACCCCGTTGCAGGACAGATCCAGCGAGACCATCGACGGCGGCAGCGCCACGAGCACGGCCTTCACGCCGTCGCTGCCCACGTGCCCCCGCGCCAGGGAGAGGGCGAAGAGCGCGCTGCGCGGCAGCGCGCGGGCGAACGCCTTCGCCCCCTGCTCCCCGACGCCGCAATCGTCCAGCGCCAGCGCCCCGAGGCGCCAAGGCCGGTCCGCCGCCGCGCGCGGCAGCTCGTCGTCGAGCGCGGCAGCCAGCGCCTCCGCGCCAGCCGGGCCGACGGGGTTGCCCCCGAGGTGGGAGCCCAGCACCAGCTCCTTCAGTGCGCTGCGCGGCAGGTGCCTGGCCAGTGCCGCCGCGCCAGCCTGGCCGATCTGGTTGCGGTCGAGCAGCAGCCGCTCCAGGACGTCGCACCTGGGGAGGGCCTCCGCCAGTGCCACGGCGCCCTTGTCCCCGATGTGGTTGGCGGTCAGCGTCAGCTCTCGCAGGCTCAGCGACGCCCCGCCGGAGCCGCCCAGGTCGCCAGCCCGAGAGGGCTGCGCGCCGCCGCCGCCCCGCAGGAGGCGCGCCACCGCCGCCGCGCCGCCGTCGCCCAGCTGGCACTCCATCAGCCGGGCGATCTGCAGGCGCCCGGCCCAGGGGCGCACGAAGGCGCAGGCGGCAACGCCGCCCGCGTCCCCGAGGGCCCGGCGGCTCAGCGTCAGCTCCTGGCAGCTCAGGCGCAGCTGGGCCAGCCCCAGCTCCACCTCCTCATCGTGCTTCGCCTTCTTGCCCGGGCACAGCACGATGGCGTCCACCTCTGCGCGCGCCGCCAGGGACAGCGCCTCCGCCACTGCCTCGAGAGCGGCCGGCTGCGCCGAGGCGGGAAGCCGCAGGGCGCCCTGGGCCTCCGCCGCGAAGAGGCGGGTGCCAGGCGTCCCGAAGCGGCAGCGGCCGCTGCGGTGCCGGGCGAGCAGCGGCCCGAGGGCCAGCAGGGCCTTGTCGTCCGCCCGCGACCAGTCCACATCAATTGAGCCCGCCCGAACTGTTGCAACTCATGTCGGTTAACTTTCTTTCCCGAGAATTTCCTGGATATTCTTCCCGATAATGTCCTTTTATCCCGTTAATTCCCTTGTTCCCTTGACGACGTTCCCGATAATTCCCGTTAATTCCCCTGTTCCAATTAATGGTAATGGGCGCCAGTCATACTCGGTCTCGCATGGTTAGCCTATATAACACGTAGAACATGATTTGAACATAAGACTTACACGATGATGGCGATATGAAGGAACGGCTGGCAGGCACATGCGCATCGAACGAGTCGAAAGGGCGAGACGCGGAGGAAGGACGCAGGTGAGGGGAATACGACAAGAGGGGACGACGACCAGGAAGCGACGGAGGGAAAAAGGTGGGAAAGGGAGCCGAAACACGAGGGGAGCAGCAGGAGGGGGCAGCAGGAGGGGGAGGAGGAGGGGCAGCAGGAGGGGGAGGAGCAGCCGACACGGGGGCCACGCATCCGTGCAGCAGCACGAGGGGAGCAGCAGGAGGGGGGGAGGAGGGGCAGCAGGAGGGGGAGGAGGAGGAGCTGGCGGTCGGTGCTGGCGCGGGCGGCGCTGGCGTCGGTGCTGGCGCGGGCGGCGCCGGGGCTGGCGTCGGCGGCCGGGCGTTGGCGTCCCCTCCTCCTCCTCCTCCTCCTCCTCTTCCTCCACCTCCAGAGGCGATAGGGGCTAGGTGAGGAGGGGGAGGAGGGATGATGGGACACGTAAGGATAGAGATGAAGATTAAGACAATCAGGATGGGGATCAGGCGGCAGCGGCACAGGGTATAGGGCATCAGGCATGGCATGGAGCGACGAGGAGGATGAGGATGAGGGCGAGGATGAGGGATGAGGAAGAAGAGGCGGATGAGCGGAACTGATTATGAAAACGAAGAGGGGGAATGATAGGGTGATTACGAAGATGATGAGGAAGGATGATGATGAAGAGGCAGAGGATGATGAGATGATGGGGCGCTGCAGGGGCGAGGGTGAGAGGTGAGGGATGCGACGGGGAGGAGGAAGACGGAGAAGAGGAGGGTGAGCTGGATGATGAGATGACGAGGTGAAGGAGGACGAGGACGAGAGAACAGAAGGGTTGGGACGAGACGCGAGAAGTGAGACGAAGAAGTGGTGAGACGTGATAAGTGGGTAAAGATATGAGGATGTAGAGGTAAGCGAGGGCGGGGCAGGGGGGCAGGAGGACGCGGGATCAGAGGATGGCGAGGCCGAGGACAGGATGAAGAGGAGGAGGAGGAGGAGGCGGAGGAGGAGGACGACGACGACGACGACGAACTACGAGGAGCAAAAAGAGTCCTCTAATTCCTCTCATCCCTCCTCCTCCTCCGCCTTCTGAGCCCTCGCCGGGCGCCCTGGGGCTGGCCGTGAGCCACCACGAACCCCCCAGCCAAGCAAACGCGCGCAGACGCTGGCGACGGTGCCGACGTCGTAGGCGCCGGCGTCGGCGCTGACGTAGGCGCCAGCAGCCAACCAAGAAACTGAGAAACTGAGAAAATGCTGGTGTCGGCGCTGGCGTCAGCGCCGACCATGATGTGGGCGTGGGCGCCGGCGACGGCGCAGGCGTAGGCGCTGGCGTTGATGCCGGCGCAGGCGCTGGCGTCGGCGCTAGGTGGCCTTCGGCGCCGCCGGCGCCTTGACCTCCTTCTCCAGCGCCGCGAGCTTCGCCTCGAACACCGGCAGCAGGGCGGTGCCCTTCTCATTCACCGCCTTCCGCAATTTGCCAACCTCGTCGGGCCTCGAAGCCTCAGCCAAGGACGGAATGTACTTGTACATCTTGTATGTCACGAAAGTGACCGCGACGGTGTTGACCGCCTTGGTCTTGGCCTTATCGGCCTTCTCCCTCGTCTCGTCGCTGAGCACCGGCATGCCTCCGACCTGATTCTCCAGGGTGTCGATCAAGGAGAGGACTGCCTCGAGCTTGTTGCTGGCGGGCATGAGCTTGGGGTACGCGCGGTTCTCGACCAGCGCCTTGATATGCTCCTCGGACGGGAAGGTGCTCAGCTTGGCCCACTCCTCCCACTGCGGGCAGCCCTGCTCCATGAAAGTCACGAGGCCGTGAACGCTCGCCTGCCACTGGGCGTAGATCTTCTGCAAAGTCCCGTCGACGCCAGACTCGAGCTCAACCAACTTAACCAGAGCGTCGAATCTGCTGAAGTTGACGTCGAGGTGGAGATTGTCCGTATCCTGAGCCTGGAACAGAGCCTTGCACTCTTCCGCTTTGGTATCGTCATTGTGCATGCTGCGAATCGTCTTCAATAAACGCCGAGCTGGGCTGACAAGGAGGATCCACTCCGGCGTAATGAGCATCTGTTCCGCGGTCTGGCAAGAGTTCCAGCGGTGCGCCAGGCCCCGCTGGCAGTGGGTCGCCTCGAAGCCAAGAGCAAAAAACTGCAGCTGGCGGTTGAGGCGCTTGTCGTTCAGCCCCTTTACATCGTCAAGGATCTGGACCATCTCCTTCTTGAGATCGGCAGCGCTAGAGTCGTCGGGCAAGTGGTGCGGGTCCTTGTACATAGCTTCGCACTTATCCAGCACGGGGGCCAACTTGGACTTGACATGCTCAGTAGCCGTCTCCACCAGTTGCTGCACGGACTCGTCTGCTAAGAGTGTGTCGATGTGCTTGGAAGCCAACTCGAATATGCTGTCCCCCCAGGTGCTCGTGATGAGATTCTTGATGTCGGCCTCGCCGGGGTTCATGGCGCGCAGAGTGGCCATCGCCGAGAGCAACCCCTCAGGAGCATCACCCTTATTCGAGAGCGCCGCTTTGCACAACGCAACGGCGCCCGACATGTCCTGCAAGTACGAGCGCGACCACTGGATCACGCTGAAGAACGGAGTGACGTCCAAGAAAGGCTTCCAAATTTTGACCGATGCCTCAAGCACCAGGGCCTCAAGAAACATCATGAACGGAGCTGTCGGCTCCAGCAGTGGCACGGACACATCCTTGAGGAGAGCTACAGAGGCGTTGCCGACGGTGCGCAGGATGGCTCCGGACACCTGCACAACCTTTGGTTTCACCTGAGAGGCGCGCCCGCTGCGCCGATCGTTCAAGTCGCAACGCCCGCCCCTATCCACCTATCCACCCCTGGCCTACCCAGCCCCGGAATCGTTGGCCAGGCAAGCCATGGGCCATGGGGCGGGAGCGGAGAAGCGACTGACGCGATCAGACGCCCGGGCCCCCTCCCACCTGCGTCACGAGGTCCGCCTGGGCGCTGAAGTCTTCGCTGGTAAACTTGTCGCAGATCTTCTGGTACTGGATGACCGCCTCCTTGTAGTCGATGCCCACCTGGTCCGTCAACACGTCCATGAGCCCGTCAAGCACCACGACGAGCTTCGCGTGCTTGGAACTGACGACCGCCATGCGCTCCTTCTTTGCTTCGGCCTTCTTGATCAGGGCCCTGCCAGCAGGGGACGACGCAACTGCCTTCGAGATAGCGTCGTAAGTGCCTGAGCCATCTACAACGACAACGATCTTGGCCTTGTCCTTGTCCTTGTCACTGCCAGCCTCGGAACTCGCAGCGTCGAGTGCTTCCTGCAACCTCGTCGCCGTCACGTCCCGCCCATCAAGAAGGGTCGGCGCGCCCATCAGCAAGCGAACGTTCTCGACGGACTTCCGGATGAACTCGGGCAGCTCACTCGCGTACGAGACCAACTGCGGATCGCAGAACTCCATCCCGAGAGTACCTGGGGGGGGGGCAAGGATCAAACAATCCAAGCATCGGAGCATCGGAAATCGATATGTCCGACGTCACATCGGGCATCGGGCATTGGAGGGCTGATCCCCACTCGGGCACGGGAGTTAAATGGGTTGCATGGGCACCCAAGATTCTGGTGACTTCTGCGGGCGAGACATCGACTCGACATCGACTACCAGGTTTAATGACCGAGGCGCGCACCCTGGGAACGTGACAGCATATCGAATATCGACAACGCAACACAATGCTTGGTATCGCAAAGGTGATCGCTTTGCTGCAACCTGCGTTGGTGATGGGCACGTGAAGTGTAGCTTGAGAGAATGGCGCACCGGGCCGACCCAATAGGATTCCTGGCGATGTGGCTTTCTCAAGGTGGGAAATCATGGCCCCGCAGTTCAGGCCCTCTTGGCTTGCGAGAGGTGCCCTCGCGATGGCAAGCCGTTGGAGCGCATGGCCTATAGCCTGCAGAGCAGCCCTGATATAAACAACATTCCAGCACAATCCATGGCCCTCCGCCCTTGTCCTGAACAACCCTCCTCCCTCTTCAACCCTACGTCTTCCAAGCGCGGGGGTGATTGTAGTTCAAAACGGGGCTCCCGGCTAAGCATGCTTATGTTACATAATGTCCGTACCGTAAGGGCTCGTGCATCGGGCACGCGGATGGCGGGCGGTTCCAGCACCGAAAACGGGCTTTCGCTTCAGACGTCCTCACCTACCAATCGCAAAATAAATATGGCGCTTACACGGGTGGAGGGTGACTACGTTGTAAAGTGGAGCTCTCTCATGATTCATGATATTATGACTTATGAGCTCCCCTGGACATGGGGCACCTACTCCGCTCATCCTCCTACTCATTATCATCTCCTGGCGTCGACCACCAAGCCGTATTTCTTCAACAACTCCCAGAACTGGAGACTTGCGATCCAGTACATAGACATAGACCATAGATGCTCCACGGCTTCTCCTGTGAGCCGCCTTATCCGAGATGCCTTTCAAAGAGAGCACCAGCCCGCTGCTACTACTACAACTTAGACTAAAAACTAAACCGATGAGTCAATGAGGCTGGTGCAGCAGTGGCTTCGCGGCTCTGGATTCAATTCACCCCTGCCTGGACGCCCACCCCGCCGCCGAGCGCGTAGGACTTCACGCCAGATGATGAAAGCCTCCGTCCGGCTCCGGGGGCGGCTGCTGCACGAAGCTCCTCTCGTCGACCACCATGGTGATCACGGTGCCCGGCTCCTGCTGGCTGACCGAGCTCGTCGGCATGCGGATCGCCTTGATGAGGCGCGAGCGCTCCTCCTCCCTTATCTTCATCCTCTCGTTCTCGATGATCTGCTCCACCTCCGCGTCCGTTAGCTTCCTGATCACCTCAGCCGAGAGGCTCGTCGGCCGCGGAGGAGTCACCATGGCCCCTGGAGCGCCCGGCGGAGGCGGCGGCGACGGCCGCGTCGTTGCCGAGACCTCGTCCTCCGTGGCGCTGGAGGGCCCCGTCGGGTGTGCCTGGCCAGGCTGAGCTGAGCCCGTGGTCTCCAGGCGGTCGAAGTACTGCCTCGAGCGCACGCACTGCAGCAGCATCTGGTCGTTGACCTTCGCGAAGTTGTACTTGTACAGGAGTTCGCCGCAGCCCCTGCATTTGATTTGGTCGATAAAGTTGTTGGAGCCCTGGCGCGTCTGGTCCCGATGAGCACATGACCTCGCCATCCGCTGCCCCGGTCGGGCGCGCGCGCTCGCGCTGGGACCTGCTTCGTTTAACGTCCTGCGCCAACACGGGTACTGAACGCATGGGTCGTGGATAAACCGCAATGCCAACCCATCGAAATCCCACCAGCCCTCTGGGCGTAGGTGGTCTAGGGCGTTCCCTCTTCCAACCTCATCGAGCGGTCAGAGCGTCCAAGATGGCCCAGGATGGCTCTAAGAGCGCCTCGGAGAGCCCAAGATGAGCTTCAAGATGGCTCAAGCTAGCCTAAAATGCCGCATGATGGCTCCGAAGATGCTCCAATACGCTCCAAGAACACTCCACCTCGCTCGAGGGCGCGCCCCCGCCCGTGACAGGTCAGCGGGCGCACGGACTTATGAGGGAGGTCTTGGGACGAGAGCGCGCATATTGCAACGCTATGGGGCCATGGATGCATCCCGCGCGAACTTCGGTTCAGTTCATCCCCATTCGCAGCCGTTGTTGGTTCAAGACTCGGGTTAGGGGATCATTGCCGGGATCATTCACCAGGCGGCCGATGCCGCGCACATCCCTTGCGGTCCCAGGCGGGCCGCTGCTCAGAAGTCGGGCTGCCACAAACACGCTCCAGCCCAAATTCCTTCCACTCAGTTCTGCGCGGGACCGCCCAAGAGGCTTCCAGAGGGCTCCCGAGAGATCCCAGAAATCGCCCCCAAGCGAGATGCCGCGGCATCTTGCTCCCGGAGGCCTCCAGGTCCAGGGGAGGGGGCAGGGGGAGGGGTCCGAAGGGGAAGAAGGACCTTGGGCATAGCATAGAACATGCACGGAAGACATAAGGCATAGGGCATTGGGCATTGGGCAGCGGCATCTTGCTCCCTGAGACCTCCAGGAAGCCCCCGAGAGCCCCCCGGAGAGCTCCAGGGCGCTCCCAAGAAGCCCCAACGAGGCGTCCAGGCAGTCCCAACTTACTCCCAAGAAACCCCCCAGAGCCCCCCAGATGGCTCCCAAGAGATCCCAGCAATCGCCCCCCAGCGAGATGCCGCGGCATCTTGCTCCCGGAGACCACCAGGAGGAAGCCCCCAAGAGCCCCCCCAGAGAGCTCCAGGGTGCTCCCAAGAAGCCCCAACGAAGCGTCCAGGAGCCCCAAGTGGCTCCCAAGAACCCCCCAAATGGCCCCCAGAGGGCCCCCAAGAGATCTCAAAAATCGCCTTCCAGCGAGATGCCGCGGCATCTTGCTCCCAGAGGCTTCCAGGAAGCCCCCGAGAGCCCTCCAGGAATCCCCCCAAGGTACTCCCGATGAGCCCCGACGAGGCGTCCAGGCAGCCCCAAGTTGCCCCCAGGAAGCCCCCGAGAGGCCCCCAGAGGGCTCCCAAGAGATCCCAGAAATCACCCCCCAGCGAGATGCCGCGGCATCTTGCCCCCGGAGGCCTCCAGGTCCAGGGGAGGGGGCAGGGGGAGGGGTCCGAAGGGGAAGAAGGACCTTGGGCATAGCATAGAACATGCACGGAAGACATAAGGCATAGGGCATTGGGCAGCGGCGTGGCAAGGTAAGACATAGGGGCATAGTCCATTGGCACGGCGGTTCACCCAGGGCACGAGGCAAGTTCTCCAGCGAGTCAGACCGGCAGATATCGACGACCTTGTCGGAGATGATGCCGACCCACTCTGCGTCCAGGTCCTTCTCCTCGAAGCCAATGCGAAGCATGTTGTCCTTAGAGAGCTCCCACCAGAAATCCTTAGGCTTTGCCGCCGCCAACTGCGAGCGGGACTTCTCCGAAGACATCCACCTCGGAACGAAGTCAAGGTCGACTGCAGGCTCCATGGCGGCCCAAGACTCAGCCTCCTGATAAGCCTTCAGAAATCCAGCGCCCTTGCTCTGAGTGTACCCCTTCATGAGGGTCAACAAGATCTCCAAGCTCTTCTTCGCCTTCTTGAACTTGTCCTCTTCTAGGGGGTCCTCGACCTTGTCCATCTCGCCCTTGACTCTGTCGACCAGGCGCCCGACCGCCTTGGTCTGAGTATAGCGCTCCTGTCCGAAGAACCGAGGGTGGGTCGACGAAGCACCCTTGGAATCAGCCAGCATTTTGACGACCTCCGGGAGCGCAGGTTCGGTTGGCCGCCCAGCTGACCGCTTCGGCGCCTTGCCAGAATCAGATGGCGAAGGCGTGGTGGCCTGTCCGCCGTCTGCAAGAGTCTTGACCGTCTTCTTCTTGTTCGTCGTGGGCGTAACCGGGGCGTCTTTGATGGCCTTCCCCGCTCTTGCCGCTGCGGCGCTGGGCGCGCCCCCATCATTCGCTTGGGTCGGAGCAGACTGCGGCATGGAGAAGCTCAGCCCTGGGAACGAGAAGCCGGAAGTGAACGCCACCGGAAGCGAGGTCTGCTGCTGGCCCAGCGCCGGCCTGGCCGAACGCAACGGATGAAAAGGCCCGAGAATCGATCAGCCAGGCCAGCGGGCCACTGGGCCCCCATTCACTCGACTCCCATACCCCGTGCCCCATGCACTATATCCCATGATTGCCCCTGGCCCGGGCCAGCCCGCGCGCCTCATTTCCCGATGATGTGCCCGCGTTGTGTCCGCAGGCATGCATGGGCGCGAGTTGCACGGTGCACGGGGCATGGGGCATGGGGGATGCGGATGCGGGAGTCGAGTGGCCCGGTGGCCCGATGGACTGGCTACGTCGATGCGCGGCCCCCTCATCGGTTGCGCCCCCTGACAGCCTGCTCTCCCCAGCACTGTCACTGCTTCCGACGTCCGCCATGATTGAGTCCAACGTGAAGTCGACGGCCTCCCCCGTCGCCCTCTCCGGGAGGAAGATGTCGGAGAGCTGGGACATCATCGACTCGAGCTCGTTGGGCGCCAACTGGAAGTTCCCCGTGGCATGCTCTTGCTGGATCTCCGCAGTCATGACGCGGGCGCGCTTCACCTTCCACCTCGGCAACGCTCGCGGCTGCCTCCTCCTTCTCCCCTTCCCCCCTTTCCCCCCTTCTCCCCCTCCCCCCATCCCTCCTTCTCCCCTTCTCCTCCCCCTCCCCCTCCTCCTCCTCCCCCTCGTCCTCTGCTCCGCCCCCCGGGGCCCCCTGGAGCCCTGGGGCAGCTCTGGCCCGAGAGTGAAGCCCGACTCAGCGCGACGCCCCGAAGGCCCGATTGTGATTCTTGGTTCCATGGCAGACTGCGACCCCATCTGAGGGGAGATACCGATGCCGATGCCCGATGCCGATGCCACCTAATCCCGTTGTCTCGTTCTCTCCACTGGGCCTCCCGTGAGCATCGCCGCCAGCGGCCTGCCTCGGCCAGCGCGTCGACAG